TGAAAACATCCTTCTCATGTCACACTCTGCTCATATATTCTTCTGCATAGCGCAAACACAGTAGGAACAAGAAAACAAACCTCTACAGAATTTTGTGTTCTGTCTCAACATATCTGTACCCTTCCTTTAGTCTTTAAGATATAAGAAACAAAAATCCTATAAAAATGAAATAGATACCATACAGAAATTATTTATTTATAATGCAATGTGGAGTGTTTTTATTGTGGACCCAACATGTTCTTGAACTGTTCTGTTGATTGTCTTCCTACCTACCTACCTAACCTGTCTACCCAAGAGCAAACAAAGACTGATCAAAGGCTCTCAAAATATAGAGATGAGAGAAATGAGTTGGAATTGCATTCCAGACAGAGAAAACAATTGTGCACCTGCAAGTACCTCATTAGACCAAAATGCACTGCGGCCATGAGAGGTGTTGCATTCCTCACCAGGATTCATAACAGTACTAGCATGTGAGCTTTCCATTGAGGACAGAAATGTTCCCCGTACATAGGAGTACAATGGCAAGACGGGTTTGATTCATCTCAACACGACAATGTAGGCTCAACCCTTTACTGCTCCACACTGAAAAAGCTCCACAGGATGAGAAGGCGCCAATGTGTGTGCTTGTCGGTATCTAATCACACCCATCTAGCACCCCTCCATGACAGCAGAGGAAATGGGGACGAAGGGAGGCCTTTAACTTAGTGAAAACATTTACCCTGACATGTACTGATAGCTGCTGTTGTGTGTATGTAGGAGAACAGCCAACTTCACGGAATCTCAGAAATTACTATCAACAGGTCAGACAAGCGGGATTTAAAAGAATGTAGCCTCAGCTTAGGGCAGGTCTGAGTCAGGGAACCAAGACTAACTTTGACTTCATGGATTTTTTTTTATCAAGATCATCTTGTCCTACAAGTATTTAGGGGGTACTTATCAGTGCCAAGTATTCATTTTATATTTAGATAACTTGGCACTCATTTGTGAAACATCTGTGCACTCAGATTTTATCTTGGCTTGTGTGTATGCACAAATTAAGAACTTCCATGAGATTCATGAACATTTTCATTATTATAAAATAGTAATTTAATGGGTAAGAACGTGTCAGCAGGCTTGTCAACTGATCTTGAATTCAATTATCCATCCATCCATTTATTCAGATTTTCAGGGTCATGGTGACAACAGACAAGCAACCCAGACATCCTTTTCCCCAGCAGCTTCCTCCAGCTCCTTAATGAGATCCCCTAGTTCTTATTGTTTTCTAGAACCTATATGACGCCAGTCAATACATGTTTGAAAAGCAAAAACATGACACCACTCGAGACTGTGCCTTATGCTGATTTTGAAAAGGCACAAATGACCAACCATTTGTCTATACAACTCAGCACTAGTTATTTATAATATCGCCACCTTGAGCTGTCCAGTGGTGTAAATGCAAGTTGTAACTCACTAAATGTGATGACCAAACCTCTTGAAGGCCTGTGGTACTCTCCAACAGTCATATATGTCATTTTGGGAATCATTGGCAAACAACCTGTTTTGTCGTCTGTTGAAGAATGTGTTCATATTCCTGTTAGGAAATATGAAATGTTTATCCTACTGTATTAAATAAACAGGTTTAATCCACAGTGGCTGGTGTAGCCACAGTCAGACTAGTTTAAAGAACAGACATATTACAGTAATTTGAGTTATTACTTGAGCAACATAATGTACCAGGAAATTGAGCTTGACACTGTCTGACCTCTTCTCAGCGCTCTTTCTCTGCTGTATCTCTGTATCTCTCTCTGAACCCTCACAAACTTCTCTTCATAACTTCCCAGCAGGGGCCTCCTTAGGATCACAGCACAGACAGGTGCAGATATCTGAGAGTCTTGCTGGTGCTTCTCTCCCTGTGACTGTGTGTGTGGTGAAGGGTTCACCAAGCCTTCCCATTCCTTGGGAAACACCCAGGGGGCTTTGGTTAACTGAATGTGATACATGGAGGCAGTGCAAAGTTTTCTGTTCAGTGTAGTTTAGTTGAGTCAGTGATGATTTTTCTTTTTTTTTTTTTTAAACTAAATAAATCAAATAAGAACATTTAAAACAAGAGGGGGGGTTGGATTTATTTAAGAATTAAATTGGGGTACAGTTTCAGAGGTATTAAGATGTAAAAAGTCCTGCTTCTACAGGTCCAGTGACTTTTGTCAGAGGAGGATTGGTTAACTGGCAGCTGGAGTAGATAATCAACAGGAAGCAGAGATCTTATTTTTTAGGATTTTGAAAGATGTGACGTGAGTAGGATACAGTTGCATTTGCTGGGTCTTGTTCATCTCCACCTGTTTGCGATGAGCTGTAAAATGACTATTACACAGTACAGAACACATTGTCAGTAAAACCAGAAACACATGGGCTCTTGAGAAACTCATTTCTTTAATTCACAGAAATACTTTCTTACTGTCAATGTTGTTTACCCAAACACAAAAAAGGTGGAAAAGAGTAGAATGGGAGGTCTGGAGTAGGAGTTGGAAAATTCTGGTAGTTCACATCTGATCCCAATTCAATCCACCAGGAGTGCAAATCATTGCGTTGCATGCTTATGTACCTTTTCACTCTACTGACTGAGCAATCAACAGCAGATGTTTTTTCTGATTAATTTTGCACTCATGCATGCAGAGCACCATATTGCACAGTTGGAGAGATGTTAGCACTCAGCTTTAATTTGTGACTTCAATTTTTATTTGTGTTAAAAACAGGGGAGGATTACATTAATATACCTATAGACAAATGGCCTCATCTCAACATATTCGCCATGCTCATGAATACTTTTTCTCTAAGTTTCTGTCAGCAGCTGGCAGCTTTATTGGTCAATCTGTGAAACTGTGCTATTTCTGTGGGTCTATATCCAGCTTGACGAGCTTCCAGGAAGTAGCTAATGCACATCAGCCAGAAAGCTGTTTGGCAGCTGACGTCGGGGAGTGTGATGACAGGTGTATCGCAACGGTGGCACGGACATT